TACAGCCATCTACTCTCACCCTGTGGAGGATCGCTGTCGTTGCCCGTTAAGGCAACAGATGAGCCAGAGGGACGGTTCACGAGAAGGAGGGACAGTTCGGAGTGCTCAGGGTTCTCAGCATGCAGTGGCATTACACGGGGGGATCTACCCCAACACACGCAGCCTCTGACACAGGTGCAGCCTTAGCATTTGCGAGCCCGGGAGAATCTCTTTCCTCTCTGCAGTAAGAAGCCCTTGTAAGGGCTGGGTGGCACTGTGAGGGTCGATAGAATGACGAGTTGCGACGGCGTCGTATGCTGCCTCGGGTGAGTGAATGAGCACCGCAGACACACACAACAGGCGAGAAGAGGAGAGCTGCCGACGAAGAGAGGCTCCACGGCATGGAGGGCCCTTGCTTTGAAAGAACTTTGAAGTCGCGAGGACTAAGGCGTTTGTTTGTCTGTTTGTGTGTGCGTTGTTCAAATCCGATTGCGCAGGTGCCTATCGCTCGTGCCAGGTGCTGCCTCTGCAGGCCTGCAAATGCATGGACGAGCGAGCAGATTCCTGTCTGTGTCTTGCTGATCGTTTCGGTGCATGCCTTGGTTCGTTGCTTGCTGTTTGTTTGTTCTCATCATTTCTTGTCAGGTTTGAAGAAGAAGATAGTGAGCAACATGGCGTTCTTCCCGCCGCGGCCGCCCGGCTACCGCATCGACGACGGGGCGCCGGGGGGGGGCCACCCGCTGCAGCGAGACTGGGACGGGTCGGTGGTGCAGGTCTTCCTCAGGTCCATCATGCAGCTGCCGATGGGTGGACAGCAGGGCAGCATGCAGCCCATGCCCAAAACCATCGCAGTAGGTAGGGCATCGGCGCATTGATGGCTGGAGGGTTGGATGGTTGGATGTGTGGTGTGTATTTTATGGTATGGGTGTGTGTGTGTTGGTTGCAGGTAGGATAAGTGTGGATGCGGTGCGGCTGCGGACGGGCGAGGGCAACTACATCTGGGGATTCCACTTCAGGCACCACACACCCAAGTACCTACCTGCACACATACACACGTGCCCAGCAGCTGCCAGGGAGGGAGGGAGGGAGGGAGGGAACGGCGTCCATCCACTCGCTCTTGGCTGCGTGTGGTGTGCAGGAACGGCCAGTGGACGCTGGTCTTCTCTCACGGCAACTCGACGTACGCCACACACACACACACACACACACACATATGCCCTCGCCCATATGCACGTCTGCCTGCCTGCCTGCCTGTGTGTGCGTGTGCTGTGTGTGCGGCCCACACACAGGGATATAGGGATGATGTTTCAGCACTTCTCGGACCTGGCTGAGAATCTGGGGGTGCGTCCGTCCGTCCGCGAGTCGATGGACGCCAGCCAACCAACAAGCGTAGTCTGTGCGTGTGCCGTGTGTGTGTGTGTGTGTGGCGTGCAGATCCATGTGTTTGCATACGACTACTCGGGGTACGGCTGCAGCACCGGGGAGCCCAGCGAACACGCCCTCTACGCTGGTAGGGGGACTGGACATACGGGCTGACTGACTGGATCTGGATGGATGGATGGATGGATGGACAGGCACACACACACACACACACACAACCAGCTACCCTTGTGTGTCTGTGACGTGACAGATATCGAGGCTGTGTTCCGCCACCTGGTGCACGAGCAGCACATCCCACAGAAATCGCTCATACTGTATGCATGCCCTCCCTGATCATCAATCAGCACACACACACATTCTTCGCACATATGGGTGGGTGAAGACCAAAGAGTGTGTGTGTGTGTGTGTTCAGCTACGGCCAGTCAGTCGGCTCCGCCCCTACGATAGACTTGGCCTCTCGGGAGGAGGTTGGAGGTCCGCCAGCACACAGCAGACAGCACACGGCACACGGCATGTCTTCTGTGCCTGTACGTGTGTAAGTGTGTAAGTGTGTGTGTGTGTGTGTATGCAGGTGTGGTGATCCACAGCGGCATGAAGAGCGGCCTGTCGGTGTTGAGGAAGGTCAGCCACACACACCACACACCACACACACACACTCATCCATCCATCCATCCATTGATTGATTGATTGATTGATCAGGGCATGGGCAACGCCCCTTGGTTCGACGCGTTCAAGAACGTCAATAAGATCCGCAAGGTCAGGTGGCCAGACAGACAAAGAGACAGACAGCCTGACTGACCTACACATCACAGTGTCTGTGTGTGTGTCTGTGTGTGTGTCTGTGTGTGTGTCTGTGTGTTTTGCAGGTGATGTGTCCGGTGTTCGTCATGCACGGCATGAACGATTCAGAAGTGCGTTGCGAGCACGGCGAGGTACTACAGTAGGCACACCCAGACGGACAGACGCCCACACGCACGATTGATCACTCTACAAACCAACCGTGCGATGGTATCAGGCCCTTGCAGAGGCCGCCATGTGCAAGTTCCCTCCCTGGTGGGTCTTCGGAGCCGGCCACAACGACATAGAGGTCGGCCATTTCACCACACCACATACCAAGCCCCAACACCCACACGGGCTCTTGCCATTGTTCTTGAATCATTTCATTCCTGCAGGTGGTGTCCCGGTCGCTGTACTTCAAGAAGCTGACCGAGTTCATCCAGCACATCAACAAGCTCGCCCACACACACAGCTACACCTACGCCCACTCCTACACCCACCCTGTCCACGGACACGGACACCCCCATGGGCACCCAACCGCCGCAACCGCCTCGGCATCACGGCTCACCGTCCCCGGGGACCAGTACCAGCACCACCAGCAGCACGCACACGCCTACCACCCCCCATCGCACCCACACCCACACCAGCACCCTCATGCACAGATGCCGGTGCACGTGAACGTGGTGCTCCGCACCCCCCATATGGCGACCACCAACACGACCACGTCTGTGGTGGGCGACATGGCGACAGCGGCCAGCAGCGGGGGGTTCAGCAGCCTCTGGGGCAGCGCGGCGGGGGCGGGGGGCGGCATGATGGCCACCATGGCCACCATGGGCATCATGTCGGCTTCTGCTTCGGGCACGAACCTCTCCAGATGGGCCGGGTCAGTGAGTGAGCGAGAATGGGCATCATGTAGATCGTATCGTTGTGATTTGTGTTGTGTTGTGGGGTGTCCGTGCAGGCAGCAGCAGCAGCAGCAGCATGATGGGCGGGCGTCGGCTTACCATGACCACTACATGCGCCTCCAGTGAGTGAGCTTGTGAGCTGCCGCACCCCGGTGCGTGTGCCTTTATACCAACCATAGCTATATCTATTCGATGAATGGATGGATGGATGGATGGCTGTGTGTGCGTGTGCGTGTGTGTCCATCCGCGGGCACGCACCAACACGTTTTATATATTCCGCTCGTCCGCTCGCTGTGTGGGCGTGGCGTCGTCTGCGTAAGTGTGAGTGTGAGTGTCAGTGTGTGTAATGGTACCTAATTCGTCAGATAAGTGAGTGGATTGGTATGTCGATGGATGGGGGGTATATATGTGGGTGGGTGGGCAATGAACACCCAGCACCTCCTCGTTCGTTCGTGTGTGACCTTTTGTCGGAATTCGCGCACACACACATACACATACGCCCTTTGACCGCATGTGTGTATGCGCCTGACTACTCACTTTCTCATTCGGCCATCCATCCATTCCATTCACACCTTTACATGCCCATTCACCCGACCGGATGAGTTACCAGCTAAGGGTTTTGACAGTGTCTGCAGCAGGCACCCGCCCCGCCCCTTCAACTGTCGGCCGACATATAAGTGTCCACAGAGAGAGAGAGAGAGAGATGGATGGATGGAGAGAGAGAGAGAGGATCTGACTGACGTGTCTGTCGGTTTGTTGGTGTCTGTCTGTTGGTTGGTTATGCGGGTCAATCAGTCAGTACTGAGCGAGCGGTGGCCGTGGATAGATGGCTGGCTGGCTGGAAGGATGACCTGTAGATAATGATGGGTGGACGGACGGATGAACGGATGCGTGTGCGCTAAATGCATGCAAGAGGGGGGGCCGACCAGGCAGGCAGACATGCGGACAGGCAGGAAGCTCATTGAACTACTCGGTCTAGACCAACCAACCAACCAACCAACCATTTGTCATGTCAATGAGTCCAACCAATCCCCCATCAATGGCATGCAATCCACCCACGCCGCGCCATGCAGAGAGGCAGAAATCGCGGAGCAAAGCGCTATGGACTACGTATATCTATCTAATCTATAAATATGCGTGTGTGTGTCCATCGGCACGGCAGCAGTCCCCCCAGCACGCAGCAAAGACCGAAACCGCTGGCTGAAGCAGGGCCCTCACTCATATACAGAAAAAAATAAATACCCATATATTCTCTCTCGTTCCTTTGGGTCGTCCGTTGGTTTGGTTTGGTTTCACACGGGGGTAGGCAGGCCAAAGAGGGCAGGGATATCCTCAAGCGAATTGACACTGACACACACACACACACACAGAGAGAGAGAGAGAGAGAGCAGAAGACACAGATCGGTCAAAGCATCTTCTTCGCCCATGCGACGCGATGCACCTGACGAAATTATTGACGGCACTGTTTGTGTCGCTCTTGGGCTGCCTGCCCTTGTTGTTGACCAGCACGCCGCTCCACCCCGCCTACCGAAGACACACGCACACACACACACACACACACAACACACAGGCGTGTCAATCCAGTCACCTACCTCGGCACCCCCCTGCACCCACCTGTGTGGCGCCCACAATGTCCCTCTCGAATGAGTCGCCGATGTGCACGTGTGTCGTGCGGTCCACACCCACACACGACGACGACGATGGAGAGGCCGGCTCGCCCTCTTTGGTCCACTGCTGCCGCACACGCCGGGCCTCCTCAACGGCCGACTGGAATATCTGGGGGTGCGGCTTCTCGACGCCCTGCTCCCGCGACAGCAGCACGAAGTCAAAGTACTGCAGTAGGCCGAAACGCGCTAGTGCCTCGGTTGCCCTCTCGTCAAAATTGCTGATCACGCCCATGACGGGCCGCTCGTCTGCTCCAAGCGATCCGCGCCACGAGCTGACCGACAGACACACCCCCACCCCCACATACGAAACGTGCGGGCGCACGCACATTGGCGGCACCCCACCCACCTGAGTGCTTGTAGCACCTCGTGTGTGTTGGGGAGGAGGGCCCAGCCCCTCTCTCCCACAAACACGTCGTAGTAGAGATCCGCAAACACGCGGTCGAAGTAGCCGCTGCTGCCGCCGTCCTCATGCTGCAGGAGGGCCGGGTCGACGCCCCCATGGATGTACGTGTGCCGCACGACGTCTCTCCACCACTCCACCGACGACAGGTTGGTCGCCGCGCCAAACGCAGGATGCTCCGCAGACCTAAAGGGAGGGAGACAGACAACAGACAAAAGAAACAGAGGTCCAGAAACATACAGACTTTGCCACCGTCCCTCCCTCCCTCCCTCCCTCCCTCCCTCCCTTCTCACTTTGCCTTATAGGCCTTCATGAACGCGGTGGTGAGGGCGTCAGCGTCGAGCTCTTCTAGATGCCTTTCCCATCCCGAGCCCTCGGGCAGATGCTCGCGCAGGGCGAGGAGGTAGCTCTCGCCGACAGGGATGCGCGGCGTGAACAGCGTGCCCGTCACGTCGAGTGTTACCAGGGAGGGCCGGGGAAACCGCACAGAAGACGCCACATCTGTGGTGGCGCTATGGCTGGACGTCGATGACATCATTGTGACGCGATGACGGGTGGACGGTCTAGTAGACGGTCGGGGGTTCCTGAAGGCAGCTGTTGGCTGCCATTCTTGGCGCGTGACGGCTCGGACGGACGACAGATGCTGGTGGCAAGGGCCAGATGAAGCGATGAGGCTGAGCGAGAGACCGATTGACAGCCGCAGCCGGTTGCGAGATGGCAACTGATTCATCAATCAGTGATGCCTGAGGAGAGAGTGGTTTCACGGAATTTTCAAACCCTACACCCCTCATACCCTTCTCGCTGAATAACTCCTCACTTGCAATCACCATGCTTGAGGCCAAAGAGGGCGGCTCGAGCTCGAATGCTGCTCCTCGAGATCTTCCATCTGCTGCGGCGAAACCGGGTGACCGCGGAGGCCTGATCCGCCTGGCCATCAGTGACCTCTATCAGGAGCTGCAAGTGAGCCTGGCGGAAGCCTGCACCGCACACATGAACACACCAACGCACCGTCGATGGATGTGTGTGTTGTGTGTGTGTTGTGTGTGTCCTGTCTGGTCTGTCTGATCTGGTCTGGTGCAGTGTTGTCTGGCGTTGGCCTTGTACGAGGCCCCTCCCCTCTCCCTCCCCACCATCACCTCACCCGAGGCCCTCCAGAAAGTCGACAGAATCCTCACACAGCCCCTGCAGCAACAGCAGCCATCGACAGCACCACCACTAGCAGCAGCAGCAGCAGCAGCTGGGGACACCACCCAGCAGCAGCAGCAACAGCAGCAAGGTTCATCGGCAGACCAGCCGAGGGGGCCGCTGCGGCCAAGCCGAAGCCGAAGCCAAAGGTCAAGGTCAAGACCACCAGGGCCTCCGGCAAGGGGCGCGGCAAGAAGAAGTTATCCAAGAAGGATCGCGAGAAGGAGAGAGAGCTGCAGAAGGAGCGGCAAAGGGAGAGGGAGAGGGAGCTGGAGAGGGTCCGTGACAAGGAGAGGCGGCGCAGGGAACGGGAGAGAGACAAGGCGGCCAGTGGGCTCTCCCGTGAGTCGCTGGAGCGGATGATGGACGAGGAGCGGACGAGGCTGCGCAACGGCCGCGAGATGGCCGATGTGTTCGACGGTGCGGTGGAGGAGAGGGTGCGGCGGCTGACGGGCCACTACACCAAGCTGAGGCGGTTCATCTGTGGCGGAGAGGATCCCATGATGCCGCCCTTGCCCACCAACCTCAAGAAAGAGGTACACACGTGGGCAGCTGGCACGGCACGAGTGTGTGGCGTATGTGTGTGTGTGTGTGTGTGTGTGGTTTCAGTCTGCTTACGCTAGGGAGGTTGCGGAGCTTCAGCAGGCCAGCGCCTTCCTCGACCAACAGCTGCTGGTGCTTCAGCGATCTGACGGTGCGCTACGCTGGCTGGGCACAGCACAGTAGAGCATAGTAGATAGAAATGGTACCTCCCTCTCTCTCTGTGTCTGTGTTGTGTCGATGTGTGTGCCTGAAGGTGAGTTGCGTGGCACCGTTGAGTGCGGTCTTCGGTGGGCGGTGGGCGGGGAGCTGACGCGACAGGGGGCGACGGTGGCGATGGGCGGAATGGGTCGTGGAGAGGGCCATGGGGGGGCAGATGACCAGGGCATGCTGACGAATGGCGTCGGCTGATCTATGCGATACATGCTGTGTGTGTGTGTGTGTGTGAGTATGGAGAGACAGACCGACCGACACACTCGATGAGCGTGTTTGTGTGGGAGCATGTCGAGTATATAGGATATGTGTGCGTGTCGACTGTGAAAGCTACACACGTCATTGTGACGAGAATGTGGTGAGGACTGACGTACATTTGTGTGTTTTAAAGACGGATGTGTGTGTGTTTCCTTCATTCGTTTAGGTGACCATCGTCCATCAGATCGGTCCGCCAATATAGACAAGAAATGTATGTGTCTACAGACGCACAGACAGACAGACAGGCAGGGAGGCAGACACCGCCAGACAGAGAAGCGGACACCACCCCACACACGCATCTACGCATCAATCCGCTCGTCCCTCCCTCCCGCATCAGTCCACCCCTAGCCCTTTGTCATGCACACATCCATCCAGCCGGCCCCACCCCACCTCATCCGCACAAGCCATGGAAGTATCTTAAAATACACACACCCAGCGAGCAAACGGACGAGCAAACACGTATATATGCACATACACCTACACACCCTTCTCTCCCTCGATTGGTTCTTCTACAGCTAAAAGCGATCGGCCAGTGGTGTGTCAGTCAGTCCTTGGCCTGATTGATGTATTAGGGTTTAGGGTTTAGACCTCGCAAGAGCACTCGTTACGGAAATCACTCCAGAGGCAATATGAGTACACGTTAGGACCCGTGCAGGCGTGGTCATGGCGGTCCGCCTTGCAGGCCTCTGGGGGTTTGAGCGTTCCGCAGTCGAAGCTTTCCTCAGGTGAAAGCATACAGACATACAGTGAGGGAATACAAAAGAACAGAGGTATCCATTGCATACGCACACACATACCCGTGCTGCTGAAATTGTTGATGGCTTGGAGGGCGTTTGCGGCCATCGTGCTGGACGCCTGGCTCATCTGGCTGGACGCATCCATCATGCTCTTGGCCTGCTGCACGTTCTGCTGCACGAGCGACAGATGGCCAGAGACACCTGCACACACACATTGCACACACCAGGCAGCAACACAGATCCATCCATCCATCCATCCATCCATGCCACCACGGGCGCAGTGCATTCATCTCCCTCGCATCTGTGTGAGCCGTGCATGTGTGTGTGCCGCACACACCGTTGTTGCTGTGGGTGGCGGCGGTCTGCAGGCGGGAGATCTCGTTAGTGCGACCCACAAACGACGCACCTGCACACAGCGGACAGCACACAGCGGACAAGTAGAACAGCCACATATGGCTCAGGAGTGATGTATACGCCATAGATCTGGTCAGATGCACCCACCAGTGTAGCAGTCCTCGCCCTAGCAGTAGTTGCTGTACATGGCCGAGGCCACAGCTACGGAACAGACGGCCGCCAAGGCGATGAGGAGCGCATACGAGGGACCCTTCATCGCTGCCAGCAACCAAATCGAAAACGCTCTTTCTCGGAACAGACGCAGAAAGCGCGAAACACTTGCCGAGATGCCAGGGCACCGCGATCCTCCCCTCAAATCCGATCACATCCACATGCATTTGGATTGAGGACATTTGGATTGAGGACATCGGAGCGGTTGAGGACATCGGGGGAGAGATCGCCATAAAGCTCGCACTGCTCGAAGGAAGCACCGTCTCGAAGGAAGGCTGCTCGTCAGGAAGGTAGGCACGCAGCGTGCAGCACAGGTGTTGGCAGCAGCAGCGAGATCTCACAAGAATGCACTGTTTTGTCCCCCCCAGATGGATTCTTCAGTGATGTCATCGCCGTCCTCTCTGCTGGTGCTCACTCTACTCTCGAGGAGGCCAGCGACCTCATTGTCGACGCCGAACGGTCGCTCTCATCTCATCTGCGACACACGCTCGAGACCACACAGCGCGGCACACACGAGTCCATCCGGCGGCTCCACGGCCTCCTGACGGCACTCATCGACAATGCTTCCACGCCGCTTGGCGTGTCGGTGGCGGCCAATGTGCTGATGCTGTGGATGAGTGCCGGCTTGGTGCGGGAGGTGCGGTGCATTCGGGCGGCGACCGAATCTGCGGCCAAGTCAGCCCAGGCCGCTGCCGAGGCGGCACAGGGAGCACAGGTGGCCGCAAGCAACGTCCAGGTGTGCTGCTGTATTCAGTGACAGACAGCAGTTAATTAAGGCGGGCAGTGTGTCAGGCAGGGAGTGGGCCACGCGTGTGTGAGTACTGCACGGTGCCGCCTGCGTGGCTTTATGTCTCTGTGTGAGAGTGGCCGGTGTGATGTACAATAGATTGCGATGAACAGACAGCCTTCTGTCGACGGCGGTGGCCGACTTAGAGGTAGTGAGGGAGGGACGAAGTGCGTGTGTTGGACCCGCTCAGCGCTTCACATGGGTTCGAACATCAATGCCATCCCTGCGTTGCGTTCACCTGATGGCTCTCGTCACGGTACCCGCATCTTTCACCAGCACCAGCTCCATGTGCACAGTATAAAAGGCATTAGGTCGGACTCCGCGCGTGGAGAAACGCCACGATCCCCTCGGTCACAGCTGTTTTTCGTGGGGAAGTATGACCGTGTGTGTGTGTATATATGTGGCTGGCCGGATGCCAACTGGTCAGCAGCTCATTTCTCGCTCTCATTCGGACTGTGCTTGCACTGCACATGTCTGTGTCGACGCCCGCGTCTCTTTCCACCGATCTTCAGGATCGATTGTGCGTCCATGCGATGCGTTCACACAGGGAGGCAGGGAGCAAGGACAGATAAACTTGTCAGCAGCTCTGTCATGCCGGAGCCACAGCCAGCAGCAGTGCGAGCCCTCAGACAGACAAGTGTGTGTCCGTCCGTCTGTCTGTCTGTCTGTCTGTCGAACGCGTGACGACACACACAGAAGTGTTCCCATGACAGGCAGGCTGTGTCTGCCCCTCCTCGGAGTCCTCCCATAGTCAGGCAGGCAGGCAGGCCCTCTCTATAGACATGTGCAAACCTCATTTGCCAGCCAATCCAACACGTGGGCACCGCGTGGGCATCGCATCAATCAGTGGACTTAGCTGTGGAGTGGGCGGGCGGCAAAAAATAGCGGTAGGTGCCGTGGCGCCAACCGACAGACAGACAGACAGACAGATGCCAGCTGAAAAGCCTCGAGCGCACCAACCACACACATACACGTAGAGAGCTAGAGATGCACGTTGCACGATCCACGTGAAGAGAATACAGACAACCCTTAGGTGTCTGTCACCCATCAGAACACACACACGAGCTGACCCTCACACATGCACACGCACTCCAATGTGGCCACATACAGAGCAGATGTGGCAGCATACAGAGCATCACCATTGACGTGACGTGTACGGCGGCAGCAGCAGCAGCAGCAGGAAAACCGCCCGCTCGTGTGAGAGCTTTGAGCCGAGTGGAGGGAGCCGATAGAAGGAGAGAGGGGGAGAGGGGGGGTCACTGAATTAATTAAAGGGGCAGCAAACAAGCAGTCAGTGTTGGCTTGGCTCTTCTGTCTTCTGTTCTGTTCTGTTCTGTCCTGCGTGTGCATCGATCGTATCGATTCGTGTGTGTCACAAACAAAAGATACATAGGCCAAAATGAAAGTAATGGCCAGGGACCCACCATGCGATGCGATGCGACGCGCCTAAACCCTCCTCCCCTCCCCTCCCCCGCCGTCTTATAAAATCGATCGAAGCCCCAAAAGAGTGTTTGCATCCTGTGCTATTGCGCATATCGAGGAATGAATCAATCAAGTGTAGTTAGGTAGCAAATCCTAGTATGTACCACCAGCAGCACCAGCACCGTGACCCATCCCATGCCATCCCATACACACACAGGCTCCCATACTCACAGACACACACTAAGGGGGACCAAAAATATATCCGCACGAAGCGAAGCCATCACCGCCCACGTCATGTGACGTGACGGCCCATCCGTCCATCCTTCTCCCCATTTCCGTGCGGAAAAATACTTACACCTTCTCGATGGACACGCAATCAAACCCACACACACGACACGCACCAGCACGGCAGGCAGACAGACCGAGTCGCTCGATAGTTCCTAGAGACCAAAAGGCAGACGACGAGAGGAAGACAGACAGACAGACAGACAGCGGCAGCGAGGGAAGAAGCCCTCTGACAACACACACACATCAGCTGTGCTGTCGCAGTGACACCTGTGTGTGTGTGTGTGGAGGGATCTAATGCAACAAGTGCTTCTCTACAGAGGAGAGAGGAGAGCCAGCTAAGTGGCCGGCAGGGGCACACACACACACGTTGAGAGAAAACACTTGGACAACACAAGAAGGTCCATCCATCCATCCATCCGTGCAGCATCTAGCTGAGAGAGAGGGAGGGGGCATCGACTAAACAAAGTGTTACTCGCTCTCTCTCCTCTCTGTATGTGTGCCTGTGTGTGGAGGGGTGCGTGGCGTGGGCGGGTTGGTGGCTTGAAAGGGATCAAAACGGAACAAAACATGTGTGTGTGTGTGTGTGTGTGCGGACTAAGGTGTCTGAATCTGTCTGTGTGAGAGTGAGTGAATGTCCTTAGCACGTGTCGGATGACTGACAGGTAAGTGACAGGTAAGGCAAAGGAGCGATCATTGCCGCATGGGTGGTGGTTGAGGCACACACACACACACACGCCATCCGATGGAGGGATGGAGGGACACGCCATCCGATGGAGGGACACGCCATCCGATGGAGGGATGGAGGGATGGCTGGATGGAGACCTGTGAACAAATTCAAACAACACACAACCGACACGACACACGACAGAGTGAGACAGAGTGAGACAGGGTGGCTGGATGCACGTGTCGCTCGCTGCTCATGGGGAGGTGAACCAATGAATGAGCAGCAGACAGACAGACAGACGGACAGACAGACATTCTCTCATCGATCCAAAAAGGGAAAGGGGTCGACCAAAAAACACCAACACCAGCCAATGAACAGACACATGGAATGGACAGATCAACACAATCATACGGTCAGTCATCGCACCGGGCGTGCAGAATACACACACACACACACACACACACAGAAATATAAAACACCAACGTTCATTTAGATGGTGCGGCCGCGGTGCGTTAGTTACATAAAAGAAAATTCCAGGTTTCTATGTATTTGCTGCAAGTAGGTGTGGATGATCCATCCATGCCAACCGAATACACATATGGATACACAGCTCACGGTGGGACTAGACAGACAGACAGACTAGTGGACAGAAAGAGAGAGGGACAAGCGTCGCAAAAAGGCCGGCCCATCCAGACGCCACAGCACTCCAGACGGACGGACGGAGGGAGGGAGGCAGGACACGCAGTCTCGATAGTCGACTAAATCACTCGCACGCACTCACGCACGCACGCACGCAGTCGCACATTCACTCACTCACTCAAAGATGCATGACGTGTGGATGGATCGGCTCATGGATAGATTGGTCAGGTATGCGACACAAACGTGGATGTGCATGTGTGTGTATGTATGTGTGTGTGTGTGTGTGTGGGCTGGTTGTGTGCAACAGGCCGCCAATCCTCACGTCAGCATATCGCCAGAGAGAGATGAGGGCCGCACAGCACAGCACAGCACAGCACAGCACAGCGCAGCGCAGCGCAGCAGAGCCCTCCTCTCTGCGCTGCACACTCATATATTCCTCTCTCATCCATGCCATGCCATGCCATGCAGCAATCACTATTCTCTTCAAAACACCCCAACCTCCCTCAGGCTCAGACTTGACTCATGCGGGCGCACACGCACTCTCCCAAACAGCCAGCCCAGCCAGGCAGCAAGACGGACAGCCGAGCGGACAGACAGACAGACAGACAGACGCACCGATCGATGGATGCATTGTCGCACGGCTGGCTGGCTGATGGATAAAAAGGCAGGCGGGCAGGGAGCTCGTTGGACGGCAACACATCCACCACGATCCCAGATACCCCACTCCCACCCGATGGATCAATCAATACTGTCCCATTTCTCCCCATATGAGAGTGAAAAAGAGAGACAGACAGACAGACAGACATCGGTGCTCCCATTCTCTCCTCCACTGCCCCCCTCTCGGCTCGCAGCTCGACCCGTCCGCACTCACTCATCCGTTCGTTCGACAGCGAAAAAGACATAGATCCACACACACGAGAGCGCTCATGGACACACACAGACACACGGGCGGACGAAGGCAGAGAGAGAGGGGAGACCGCCAGATGGAGGGAGCATTGGAAGAAGGCCACACACATCACATTACATCACACGACAGGACACGCCACGCATTGACATAAACAAAGACCCCAAATTCGCATATATCATCCGTTGAGCCATTCATCCGTTCACTCAGGCAGACATCACATGCATGCATGTGAGCCAATCAATGAATGGAATGAAATGATACGATACGATACGATACAGGTTGGTGCGCTCTCTTCTCTCGAGTGATTGACTCACTCATCTCGGCTGGCTGCATGTGTGTGGGTGTGTGTCAGCCCAGCCACACGCGCAGACACAAATACATACAATCCTTCCCACAGCCATCCCATCCAGCCAGCCATCCGTCAGTCAGTCAGTCAGTTCGCTCGGGAGGCTTGTACATATCTCACTCATCTCACATATGCGACTTGGTGTGTCTGTCGCAGGAATGAGCATCAGCCAGCGGTCATACAACATACTGACGGCTCAAAACCTCCCACAACTATCTAATGCAATGAATGGCGCGCATGTGTGTGTGTGTGTTGGATGCCATCAGTCGTCAGCCGTCGGCTGGCTGGTCACTCACTCACTCACTCGTCATAGCTGGAGGGAGCCGCAGCAAGAAGCTCTGAATGGGCCATCCAGTCACACCAGGCACACACAGACACACACAGACACAGGCACACAGGCATGCGTGTGAGATGTGATGTGATTGATGCACTCGTTTCCGCTCGTCAGCTAGTCATTGTCTCACCCTCTTTGCTGACGGCGAATCCCTCCAGCCACAGTGCCCTCTTGTCCCCCTTGCTCCCCGCCTGCTGGTGGTGGTGTTGGTGGTGCTGGTGACGGCTGCCGGCCGATGAGGCGCTGCTCTGGCGCATCAAGGCAGACGCAGGTAGCAGAGGAGTGTCATCCACTGGTGTGGTCAACGGTGGGGCGGGCAACGGAGAGGGAGACGGGAAAAAGGGCAGCAACGCCACTGGGCCGCCGCCACTGGATGCGGCACCCGCCGTGCTGCCCACCAGCAGCGGCGAGACCACCCCACTGCCCTCGGGGGTGTTGACGAGTGGCCCCTCGACACGCATGAGGGCCTTGCGGGGCGAGAGTGACACGAGCATGGCTGCGCATGGCAGGTGGTAGGGCTGTCTCTCCGGCGAGCACGGGGAGCTGGTGCTGCTGGGCGACGAGCATGGCGAGGGGGTGGTGCAGGTGGACGAGTGGTGGAGGGAGAGGGATGGGGAGGCGGAGGGGCGGGGAGGGCTGGGGTGGTGGTGGTGCGGAGGGGCGGAGCCGCGGTTGATTTCCTCTGTGCCGTGGGCCCACCGACAGTTGACATTCTCACACAAACCTGATCGATTCGTCCAGCATACACACATACTGTCAGACGAGACGTGGTGTAGTGGTTGTGTGCCATGGTGTGGTGTGGTGTGGTGACCGGCAAGCCAAGCCTTGCAGATGTTCTTCTTCTTGAATGCAGGTGTCGCCCTCAGTTCCGCCAGTGAGTGGGCGTACTGGCAGTGGGGGTTGCCGCAGTCGGGCCTGCTGTATGTGGATGACCGCTGGATGTGCGGACACAGAGAAGTCTTGCGCAAATCGGGCTGGCTGCGGAGGTCCTGCAGACAGACAGACAGACAGACAACGAAATGCATTCAGTGGTCGGCAGGCGCCTACGTATGAGCACATACCTCTGGCCCGTGCGCATAGCGACAAGCCGCACCCCAATAGCACCTGCAAGTACGGAAGAACAAAACAAACCAATCACATGTTCACATGTCTGGTAACAAACCCGACAGTGAGGCGTACCGATTCTTAGTCGTGTCTGGGTCGTACCAACGACACAGCCTGACACCCACATGTGGGCACAGGACACACACAAATCACACAACACACACCACAGTGCTGGCGGAGGCCTCGCTTACAAGCGCTCACCGTGTTTTGTGGAACTAAGTTGCACCACACCGTCACCCAGGTACACACCACACACCAAAACCAACACAAACACAACAGACAGACAGACAGAAAACTGAGACAACACTCGAGGCGGTGGCGTCTTTCTGCTCATCGGTGCTTCCTCACCTGAGTGAAGTATCTGTTGCGGAAGTCAGGGCTCTCTCTTTCGTCCACCAGACTCTCAGTGACGCCCGATGACTCCTCGCCTCGCCGCGACGTCATCTCGCTGTGAGGTCAGACAGCGAGCCCAGAAACTAATTGCTGGCTGGCGGAGAGCTTTTGATGGCGCAGGGTGCGCCTTTGCCCTCCCCGCTCGGCGGGCAGCCCCGGTCCGACGCACTTGTCTGCAGATCTTGGCTGGGGATGCGGTAGTTCTGGCTGTGCGGGGACGCTTGCGGCTCTCTCCCTGTTGGCTTATTGGAGAAAGGGAAGAAAGTGAGGAAGATGGTTGGGGCAAAGGTCAGGCAAGAAGTCGAGATTCTCGACGGGCCCCATACCCCCCCCCCC